AAATATTTTTAAATATGTTTTCATAGTTTCAGAGATAATAATAAATAAATAAAAAAAAAATTCAGGCATTTTTAAAAAAAATTATTAAAAATACAAGAACTGTCCTGAAATCAAAACTATATTAGGCATTTATTTTAGATGGTCTCTACTTACTTTTCTATAAATATCGTAATCTTAAATCATACAGGATGTTCAAAATTCTACTCCAAACTTTCTAAAATATAAAATAACTTTTCTTCGTTTTTTTTAAAGAGAACACTCTGTATATTATTTTTTTAACAGATAGAGAATTAAAAAATGAACATTTTTTGTAATTACAGTATATCAAAATTTTTAATGGTTTCGCAGATACACGCAGTATTATTTCATACGGCGCTTTCAACGGTAAAATACGAGAGAAAAATCATTGGGTGGCTTTGATTAAAGTTTATTGTGGAAATTGCCATATGAAATATAAAACCGCAAAATATCTGCGAAACCATTTAAAAAATTCCGATACACTCACTATATTGGGCCACCCTATAGAACTGAAAATATTTTCCCGAAATAGACCTTGGTACATACTTCAGGTTTGCACTTAAACAAAATTCCCAAGTATTTTATTCTAGAAGCTACAGATGCCCGACGCACTATTGGCGGACCCTGTATCCTGTATAAGTCGACATCAATCCAAGAAGATTCTTCAATGCACCTTATCTACCACTTTCCAACCAACTTTGTCAATTAAAAAACTCGAATTAAAATATTTCAGGGTCCTGCGTCTACCCCATAAAAATGTTTATTATACAAATATAGCATAAACAAGCTGAAAGTTTGCAAGTCCCATAAAACGACAATCATTTGAATATTTAACCCCCATCCAGTTTTTTTACTACCTACGCCGCACCGTCTAGCTACTCCGCCACCATAAACTACATAATTCACAATAATTCACCCCTTTTTCGCATCGGTAGCGGCGTCGGCGTCTGTTCGCCCCAGACGTAATGCGGACGTTCATCCGGGCGTCGGGACGCCCGAAGCCGCCTGCCTGGGGGCGACGCCGTCGTCTCGTGACCCGGCTCACTGCAGGTGGTTGACCCATCTCCCCGTCCTAGGGTCGCATTGGTCTGCTCTCGGTTGGCGAGACCCACTCGACCGCTAAATAAAATGTCGAAAAAGAATATCTATATCTCGTTCAAACATATCAAAAAGAAGTATCACTCGAGAAAGGAGAAAAAAACTCTAGACGCATTACGAAGAAGTAACTCATTTTTAATGCACTAGACTCTATTATAGAAGTTCTTAATAGAAGAATTATCTCAAGTTCTGTCTGAAGATATCGGTAAAATATTTAGTTTTTATTTCTTTTAGTGGAAGTAAAAATGGATATTCAGAAGCATGAATAAGAAATAATTTCAGAACTTGTAGAACCTATAGACAGAAGATATACGTCTAGTTCATTGCACACCTTTAAATATTTAAAACAATTATTGTATGTTGCATGGGAGTGGGGAAGTTAATCATCGCTACCTTACAGATCTACAGGGTGTTTCAAAAAACATGAGCCATCTCTCGTGGAGAGATTCCTCATGTAAAAATAAGATTCATTTTTCATCAAAATAAAAACACTAAATCACCACAATACACCAAAACACTTTTACTTTTACACTGGACGCGCGTTTCGCTAACCATGTTAGCATCATCAGCAGATGATTATAAACTCATAATTTAATGAACAAACATAAACAGTTTATAATCATCTGCTGATGATGCTAACATGGTTAGCGAAAGCGTCCAGTGTAAACAGTTTATAATCATCTGCTGATGATGCTAACATGGTTAGCGAAACGCGCGTCCAGTGTAAAGAAAGTGTTTTGGTGTATTGTGGTGATTTAGTGTTTTTATTTTGCTGTGTAACACCAAAGGTTCCAACCTTCAACTGTAATTCATTTTTCATATCAACATAGGTCCGATTCTGCTTTGTTTCGTAGCTACAGAGTGTTAAAGTCTTAATATTTATTAGTATTTTCTTTCAAGTACCTTTAGCGTTTCGAATGAAATTTTGAGGGTAAAAGTTACTATAAATTTGACATATTTTAAAGCTAAAAAAGTGTCGACATATTCACCAGGGACGTGCATATTTACTGGAATATTTTCTAAAAAAAGCATGTACACCACTGACTTTTTTTTTACTTTTGTTAGCGAAATAGTGTTAGCAGTCACAGTTAAAGAATATATATTCTTTAAATTGTGGTTGGACATTAGACGGCCTGATACACAATTTTGATACCAAAAGAACGCACATGACCGTCAGTGACGCACATGATATTTTTTGAAAATATTCCAGTGATAATCCATAGAAAATTATATTAATCTTTAACACCCTGTAGCTACGAAACAAAGCAGAATCGGACCTATGTTGATATGAAAAATAAATCATATTTTTACATGAGGAATCTCCCCACGAGAGATGGCACATGTTTTTTAAACACCCTGTATTGTGTCCCCCTTTCTTGAGTTATAACTCATCATACAATCACAGAGCTTTGACAAAAGCCAGTATCTGAGACGATTTTAGCTCCATCCCCGATATCAGACGTACCAAAGTTTATGGTATCTACGAATGTTTGTCGTCCCGGCGCACTCAGTGATGAGGTGTTCCCCATTTTCCCCACAGAATCTTCATTCGCCGTTGTTTCTCAGCTTCAGCCTACTGAGGTGTTTGTTGAGGAGACAGTGTCCTGTTAGAAACCCCGTGACAATCCGAAGATTGATCTTACTTAAATTAAGGAAAATCCTTGATTGCTTGATGGCACCCTCGGTACATTTCTACTTTATTCGATAGAAAATGACACTCTGAATAGAATGATATATCATATGTCAACCTTTAACATTTTCGTTTAAAAAATAATCATATTTAAAATTTCAATCTAGAGTGCCATGGCTGTGTTAAAAACACTAATTTTTAATCAAGGAGCATTGGGAAAATATATTTAACCGTTTAATTTTCGTGTCCTATCCTGGAGGGTTAAAAGATGCCCAAATCGTATTTTTAATCATATCTCAATTTTTTCAAACAGAACAAGGGTGGCTAATTAGCATATTTGGAAAAAGCATTTTTTTACGAATAATTTTGTACCACACCCTTGGTATTTCGAATCAAATTGTCGTTATGATCTGCATGTTACAATTTGAAATAAACCATATGCGAAAATGTCAAAAGTTGACATTGGATATGTCATTCTATTCAGAGGGTCATGTTCTATCGAATAAAGTAGAAATATACCGAGGGTGCCATTTAAAAATCAAAAGTTGTAGTCATTTCCGGTGAAACAGGAAGTGACCAAAAACAATTGAATACCCGTCAATCAATTCTAATTTATGTCATACCCTGCTGGCAAGCGAAACCTTGGGTCGGCGTTTACATGTATAGGAGTAAATCGCTATGGCATCTAGTAAGTCGGAGAGACCAAAAATAAGAAGTATTTATTACATAACCACCTAATCTGACCCTAGACTCCATACGCTTGGGAGAATACTTGGCTTCTGTCTTTATTCATCAGTACATCTTATTTTGCTAAGCGTGTTGACCGTACTCTCCGTACACACGAAAATCGGCATCCAAGACCAGAAATGCCAGCCCGAGTATACTAACATACCAAATTTCGTTTTTTTATCTGAAAAAACTTATAGAAGTGAGCTTACTTTTGAGACGCACCCAGTATAGAAACAATATTTGTTTGATGAAAATTTCTATATTTCAGTAAAAATTGAATCAGCATTGCTTGGTCTTGCACACATCGCAAAATCTTCCCGCAAGACCAGTTTCCCTAGACCATTTTATTTATTTTGATATCTTACTTTTAGTTTTGCACTTTTTAAATAGATTGTTACTAGAGGTACTCTCTACATAGAAAATATTTAAATAAGTAATATTTCAATTAATGTAATGCAAATAAAATTTTATAGAAACAATATTTGTCTGGTGAAAATTTCTATATTTCAGTAAAAATTGAATCAGCATTGCTTGGTCTTGCCTTCACAACCAAACCAAAACCAATGCGGGAACAGAGATCGGAGTATTTGGGTCGAGAACTAAATACTCCGAACAAATGGGCACCTACCGCATCTACTACCTAGCATCCTACAGGCAGAAATCTACGCTATCGAAAGATGCGTACAACTTATCTTAGATAGTAACTATCGGAAACAAGAAATAGCCATCTTCTCTGATAGTCAAGCAGCGTTAAAAAGCGATCAACTCAGTATCAGCATCAATCAATTCGAAATTGGTCAAAGAAAGCATAGAGAAGCTAAATAAATTAGGCAAAGAAAACAAAGTCCTCCTACTCTGGGTGCCTGCTCACCAAGGTATAGAAGGCAATGAAAAAAGCAAATGATCTAGTTAGCAAAGAAACGAACACTCCACTAACTGGACCAGAACCGTTTTGCTTCCCAAGTGGTAACCAACTAAAGGCGGAACTCAAGAACTTGGAAGACTCCATCCGCAACCTGGAATGGGAATCTTGCAATGGTCTAAGACACTTGAAGAAGTTACTGATGGCTTACGACCAAGAAAAAATCAAAGATCTTCCTGGATTTAAGTAAGAACAATCTTCGGATTGTCACGGGCTTTTAACATGACACTGTCTCCTCAATGAACACCTCAGTAGATTCAAACTAAGAAACAACGACGAATGCAGATTCTGTGAGGAAAATGAGGAAATATCAGAACACCTCCTCACTGAAACCTTACGACTCCGTAAACGCTAAACTATAATATAGATACGTAAACAGTACGACTACATAAAAGCCCTGAAACTGTATGATGTGTTATAACACAAGAAAGGGGAACACAATAGTTCTATAAGATCGCGATGATTAACTTCTTCCTTCCCATAGAATCTACCATCTAACTCGGGGTATTCATTGGAATACCTCCTTAGTTACCGATTGGTTACCGATCTAAAATTTAAAGGTTGAAAACTTGTTGAAAAAAATATATTTTCCATTTGATTTGCGTGACATTGCCTATCAAAATTGACTTTTTTGTCACATTGTGATAAATTTTTTAGTTTTACATATCGCTTGATAAATTTTATTTAAAATGGTGAAGAAACAATCAACTTGTAAAAAATTTAAGGCCGCCAGCAAAGACATGCTGGAGTCTTTCAGCCCATGGACGTCTCTAGGAAAAGTCATTCCGACATCCAAGAAAGTAAAAGAAGACATTTTCGAATCGTACAGGCCGACTAAACAATGTGTCGATTATACGATTTCGGAAACATACACGAAATTCCAATCCGGAGATATTAAAGTAAACGTTAAACAAACTACAGCTACTTACAAGGATATTCCTGAAGAAATATGCAGACCGAAGAAAGACAAAAAGGCAAGTAGTAACAGTTCCATTCCATTAAGTTTATTCTCAACAACAGTAGCAATTATACAGATTTCAGCTTACAGATTTGCACAGGATTATTGATTACATAAAGATATTTAGATTTTTAAGCTACGAAACTTGTAGTTTTCTGTACATACAAATCTTAAATGCCTTTATTTTTTAGCAGATTTTACAATGCTTGGTCATATAGTTTTTTATATCTGTACTGTTTCATTTTGAATAATATTTGTAGTTTGCAAGTTCTTCAGTCATTTTTTTTATAAAATGGTCCTTACAGTATTTCCTACACTTTTGCCTCTTGTAAAAAACGCCACTGCACATAGATTTCATATTTTTCCGAAACTGATTTCTTCTCACATCAAGCCTATGTAATGGTGCGTTTAGACTTGAGCACGCACGCACTGATCCTTCGCGAATGCTCAAATGAATGCTTCACTCTGAATGTCTCTGTGCGCGAGCAGCCGCGAACGTGAGCCGTCTGGTGTCGGTTTTTGTCCGTGCTCAAAAGGATTTTATGTGCGCGAAGGCTCAGTTTGCACCGGCAATTTGTTTTGTCTGCGTGCGTGCGTGCGTGCCTTCACCAACACAACTCTGCTGTTCGCACATAAATGGATCACTTCGTTCGTCGAAAATAAGTTTTTAATTTAAACGGAGTCGAGAGCGCGAATACCGTGCGCGTGCGCTCAGCTCGTGCGTGCTCAAGTCTAAACGCACCTTAAGGCGCATAAAATATATTATGCTCTAATAATCTATAGTTGGCGAAAATATGGAATTTTATATAAATATCGCAAATGATATTTGACAATAAGCTTCAAAAAAGCTTAAAAAATAAATAAATTTTAAATTATCTAAAATTCGGGTATATTTTTATTGATGCCCTCTAACGGACAAACGAAGCAGTAATTGGAAACCCATTTTACGAAAAAAAACAAGTATCACAAGTATCGGTAGAGTTAGATAATATTTCTAGTCGGGGTGGGGGTAGTTTTTACCTTTCCCTTATTTTTTCTTGTTTTTTTTTGTGAAAGTCAAATATTAAAGTGCTTAGCAAAACATAGGCACCCCAAATCTAATTCAAATCGGAATATCGGTTCTTAAAATATCTTAAAAATGGGTTTATTTTATTATATAGGGTGCTACAAATTCGAGGTACGAGCATTGGTATCTCGGAAACCGTAATAGATACGAATATAGTTAAATTGGGGCAAACTTGCGCCCTTGGGATGTTTACCAAGATGCCATCAAAAAAGTTTTAAAAATTTCAAGGATTACTGAGTTTTTTAAAAAAACGGATTTTTGTGAAAATCGATTTTATTCTTTCCTGTCGTTACTTTTTAGAAAATCAAAAAAACTCTTTGCATATTCAGTGGTGGCTTATCATTGTACTCAGAAAACCGAGTTCTTATAAAAACTGAGATAAAATATGCAGATCCGTATTCAAAAAAATTAAGTTAGCCTCTGTAACTCACAAATTATCACTTAATTTGAAAATCTAAAAATACTATCAAATAGCTCTAATAAAGTGGCTATGAGAATGCGCAAAGAAATTTTTGTTTTTCTAAAAAGTAACGATAGGAAAAAATACAATTTATTTTTTAAAAAAATCCGTTTTTTCTAAAAAACTCAGCAATTCTTGAAATTTTTAAAACTTTTTATGGCATCATGGCAAAAATCCCAAGGCTCAACTTTGCCCCAATTTAACCATCTTCGTATCTATTACGGTTTCCTAGATACCAACGCTCGTACCTCGAATTTGTAGCACCCTGTAGATGCCCTTTAACAGACAAACGAATCACTTTTGTCTAGATATAAATCTGTGTATAAATTGTCCAATGAACGTGTTTTGATTCCAAAAATACATAGTTGTTCTATTTACACGGAATATTAGGTCACCCTGTATAAACTTTCTAATGTATCTTTTAGGTTAAACATTCCCATGGTGCACCTCCACAATGGAAATTTTTGGATGAGATATGGAGAGAACATGTGGACAAAATTGCCAAAAAAATGAAAGTGGACAAAAAGCTGGAAAGAAAAAAAGTTAATTTGGAAAATAATCAAAAACGCGAGAGATATCACAACATCGTTCAAGAACTGGTTGGTCCAGACTGGTTTATGGAACTTTGCCCGCAACAACTGAGTTCTCTGGACCAATTACGGCAAAGACTTTCGTTAGATATTAGAAAACGCACTACAGAAAATACCCAGGAGCTTCTTGCCGAATTAGGTTTAGTTTTGAGACCTAATAAGGAGCACGTTAGTACGGCTATAAAACACAGTTGCGGGTGTCCGGTAGAATTTTTGTTAGTACTATACCAACTCATCAATCCAAGAAGAACGGAGTACTCTTTAAACGATCGCTTGATTCTTTCTGGAGTCGTGCATCTTTCCATAGCACAAACTTTAAGGGAACTTCACATACGAATACCATCGCCTCCAAGAATTATTCCTGAAGAAAGGGAAAAACATCACGAGCAGAAAAAGAAAAAAGTGAGATATAAATCTCCTTACTTACAGCCGTTGACTTACGATCCACCGCCACCTAAGTTTTCTGGAATATACAGGAATAAACATCGGCAACGTCCAGAAAGCCCATATTTTTCTTATTTATATTTCTATGAATTAGACAAAATGTAAGTATTGTAATCGCAAAACATTTTCCGATGCACGTCATCAATCATATCGACATTGACACTAAAGTCTATAAACCTGACTAAATGAAATTTTGGCAAAAATGCTTAAATTTGTTGTATAAATTAAGATACCGAGCAGCTTTTCATTTTACTTTATAGAGCAAATGATTGTAACAGATATTTTATTACCTTACTGATTTTGGTACTGCTGTCAATTTTGTCAACCTTTGTGTCTCATTTCACCTATAGTTAGTTCATTCATTGGGGATCAAAAAAGGGGCCTGCTTGGAAAAAAGTCCGGAAGTTTTAAAACTTTGCAGGTTTATAGGTTTTGGGGTCCCTAACTAAAATCCATAAAATGCACATTTCCAGGGACTTTTTTCCAAGCAAAAATCCCCAATGACTTAACTACTAAAGGGACATATTTTGAAAAATAGATTCTTAGTACCCACGTTTACCTAATCCCTAGTTTCGGTAGTTTCGCCCCCTTAAAGGTTGAATTTCCGAAAATCTCTTCTCAGTGTTCAATTACGCCGCTTAAGAGACCTCTGTGCAAAATTTCGTACTCCTGGAACAAATTTTAACAACTTTTTATGCAACCTTCTATCCCTAATTTCAACTCCTTAGCGGCCGAATTTCCAAAAATCCCTTTTTAGTGCTCACTTACATTACTTCAGGAACACATTTGCCAAATTTCGTGTTTCTATGTCAAGCAGTTTCGGTTGTGCATTACAGGACAGATTTATATCTAGGAGAGATTTAAAAACTTTAATACCTACAATATTAACCCCCTAATTTTATTCTCTCAAAGTTTTACAAAAATCGCCCCTTAGTGCAAAATGTCATATCTCATACAGATTTAAATTTTTTTATACCTACAATATTAAACATAAGGTTAGTATTGACATTCGTACATTGTCTTATAAGGCCATGGGCTAACGTTAGCCAAGCTAATTCCATCACTTATTAAAAGAGAAAAATTAATAAATACAATCATATTAAATTTAATATTATATTTTTCAGACATAATGACTTTTGTTTTAATTATTCTATGCATGCCAAAGACCCGGCAAAAAGAGCTAGAGTTTCAGAATACCAGGACGCTCAGCAGTTCTATGAATCCTTGCCCGGAGTTAAGAAGCAAATGTTACAATTAATACCGCCCACATCTTTGTACCAATGTCCAAATATGCTCCATCCAAGACCTAAGGTGGATCGGTCCCAACTTCAATTAGCTCGCCTTTGCAAAGTGTCAGTATCGGAGCCAGACATTTGTTTTTGCAAAGAAAATGACCGGGGGAGCGGTGTGCAAAAAGAAATTAAAAGAAGTTGTTGCGAGAAGCACGCTGAGAAGTATTTAGGATCTATTTGCTGGTGCGATAACTGTTTAGAGGAAATAGCAACAAAAAGTCTAGTAAGAGTCCATGGAGGCTTGCGAAAAGCTCCGTGTTATTGTGATGAACCTGTTCCAATTATTGAAGGCACTTTATTAAATAGAACATGCGATTGCTTTAAAGAATATAGAAATAAAATTGTATCGGCAGCAGCCAGGCAGAACCTTCAGGATAGAGATAAAAAATATGTTATATCAGGTAAAATAATAATTAATATCTATTAGTTTGTGGCTAGAAGTCCCAATAACATCCGAAATTAGTTCATTTTTCGAAAATGTTCTTTATAGGCTTGGTGCACTTCAGTTGATTTCAACAAATTCCCACCGCAGCGCTTCAACGGAAAAAAATCAGAAGTTACGAGTTTACGCCGCGCCGCGGCCGCGCCGTCGCGCGTCGTGTTGATCATATTAAAATAAAATTGAAATCGTAGTTTTTTGTCGTAACAATTATTTTAGTTTTTTGTTATTGAGACTATAAAACACTCGTACGAGGTTTGTGTGATGTAACGCTGTTTCGGGTAGTAAAAAATAAGTGAAAAAGAATTCGAACTAGGCGTCGTGTTGAGACACTTTCTAATGTTAATAAAATTACCGAAAAAATGTTAACGTCTAAAGGAGAGCCTAATTAGGGCGTCGTTGGGTGCAATAACATTTTGTAACTCAATTTTCCCAGATATTCAACTCCCCCCCCCCAAACAACATTTTATAGCTTCATAGTCTCTCACACCGATTTGATTAAAATCAAAAATGGATTGAAGCAGTTCGACGAAACAAGTGAGTAAACAAAATGCTCGTTACATAATGAAAAAATTAAATAGACATATACTATGAGAGGATAAAATATAATTTGCAATATTAATGGTATTCTTTTTTTAATCAACTAGTGATTAAAGGTTTTATGAACATCTTCTAAAATTATAGCTATGAACCTTTAAAAAATTTCGTTATAACCGAAATAACCACAATTATGACCCCACTAGCAAAACCGGTGCGTAAAACTATGCTCGCTACCGGAGTTGAACTCATCTAAAAAGTTTTTTTAGCTGGAATAATAAATTATAGTACAAGTTAGACCTTCGGGATATATCAAAATATTTACTTTTTTATTTTTATTTTTAGAATTTTCACACAAAAACACTTTTAGAATAATTATATAATAATTTTTTGTATACTCCCTATTTAAACTCATGCATTTGTATATACCAGTTGTCTATGGTATTCTCCGATGGTGGCAGCACCGGCGAGAATACACCAAAACCAAGCCTATAGTAAATTAGATTTCATAATTGATTACAGGTGTAGTCCTGACACCCATTGGTCCAATTTACAATATTCTAACAACATTGGGTAAAAAAATCTGCAATTGTGACGAAATCAGAAGAAGAAAAAATGCTCTTAAATTAGCTAAACAAGCTTTACTTTCCAACGAGGCTAAGTTTGTCATAGGTGGCGTCACTATGACAAAAAATGGACCAGTTTATAATTTATTAGCTGTGGCAGCTCGAAAGCCTTGCAAATGCTTACTCAAATATCACTACCAACTAGGCGTATTAGCAATGCAAAACGAGATCCGGCAATATTCATCAACATTAGTCAACCAGGGACTAATAAACAGTGCTGTAGGTCCAGTTTTCAATCTCGGTTGTGTAATAGACCCGAAAATCTACAAAAAGCCTTTTGACTTAGAGGATTTGTGTCCCTGTAGTATTAAAAAGCCGATATGCTTCACACACTGCCAAAATTATTTCGATTATACGGAAACTGTCGAGAATTCAACTTCAAAATCAACCTTATGCGAATCTAGTTGCGAAGAAACTTCATATACCAGTTCAGACCGATCACAATCTTCAAAGGAATCCAGCTCTGCCACTTCAGGTGAATCGTGTCCATATTGCCATCAAACACCTGGAATGGATTCGTCACCAACGAGAAAATGGTAAATATAATAAGTACAAATAAGTACCTGTATTCTGTATTGGCAAGTTTTTGGACAACATATTCATAGCAATTGAAGATATTGATAAATGATTAATTAAATTAGAATGTATATGTTTTTTTCTACTTGTTCACTAATTTTTTATTATTAGCGTTGATTGGAGAAATAAGAAGATGCGCGACCTTATGGGCGATTTCGTGGCACAAAACTTGTATGTAGCTGGCGTTACTGTCAGCCTGTCCGAGATTTAGTTTAGATCCGCGCCGTTGCGCGCTGATAGTCGTTTATAGCGGAGTTACAGCGCAGCGGATAAAGAATACTGTAACGTAGTTCTGCTTTCGAGTGAGTGGTTGCCGGAAACAGTGTTGCCAGAACTACTGATTAATCCGTAAATTTGCGGATTTTGCGTACAGTACATTAATAATACGGACTTTTTATCATTAAACAACTGAATATAATAATATTATGTGATTAATCAAAGAACGGCGTCAGAGTTGGCTTCAGAGTAAAATATTATGGTAAATGTCAATATCATCATTTCCAAGCCAACTAAACGACTTTTTTCGATCATACTACATACGACATATTCAGTACCTATAAAAGAATTTTTATTTTTGTTTTTTATTCTATGTCTGACAGGAATAAATGTTCAATACATAAACGCGGATTTTTCATCATAAAATATTTTTGTCAAACGTATTACAGATATTACATATTTTAATATGGCAACACTGTCGCTTTCAGTTCCACGCCGTCTTCAATATTCCTTCGCTGGCCCAATTTCAGAAAATAAGTGTTTTATGCGTGGGCCGCAAAACGATTGGTGTCTCCACCGTACAGCACTTGAGACGTAAGGGGAAATCAAATCAGCCTTGTCAAGAATTCGCCTATTAGGTTGTGCATCTTCCAAATTATTTCAATCAACCTTATAACGATGTTAATAAACCAAAATGAATCATTAGGTATTTGACAGAATTGCTTCTTACATAGCGTCATTCTAGAATAAGATTGTTCTATAGACCATTTCGATGAAACTGAGAAAACAAAGTTTAAAGTTTAAACTGGATATCCGTGAACACTATATACCAAAATGGTTCTATTAAACATATAAATTAAAAGTAATATAAAAACCTATCAAACATATGTATTTATTTTACTTTTAGAAGCTTTATTTAAAAGATATTAGTGATTTTAGATTTGGATATAGAACAAATGTGTCTCTTAGCTGTGCATTGAGCCGATTTTAGGGATATAGAACAAAATAAGGGGATATAGAATAATATAATACTCATTTTAAGCTGATTTATTTGTATTTCAAAATATTATTTCGACACAAAATAACTGAAGTGGAGACATTAAGACATTAACTAAAAACAACATAAAAAAATAAAAACCTAAAATACAATAGTAGTAATTATTCGTCTGCATTGTTTATTAAAAACTATCATTTTTTTCCGCCTATTTGTTTGGTATAGTGTTAGAATAACTTAATCAGATTTTAAATCTGATTTTTAACTTTCATTGGATTATTTAAATGTTTTATTTAGCTATCTCTAGTATTGATAATATTAGAGAACGATTGAGCAGTCAATTGAGTTGAAGCAGTTGGTTTCACAAAATTCCAAAGTGTGAAATATTCGAATTTGCTAACAAATCAGGCAATCAGTGCTTTACAAACGAACGATTGAGCAGTCAATTGAGTTGAAGCAGCTGGTTCACGAAATTCCAAAGTGTGAAACATTCGAATTTGCTAACAAATCAGGCAATCAGTGCTTTTCAAACGAACGATGGAGCAGTCAATTGAGTTGAAGCAGCTGGTTTCACGAAATTCCAAAGTGTGAAACATTCGAATTTGCTAACAAATCAGGCAATCAGTGCTTTTCAAACGAACGATTGAGCAGTCAATTGAGTTGAAGCAGTTGGTTTCACAAAATTCCGAAGTGTGAAACATTCGAATTTGCTAACAAATCAGGCAATCAGTGCTTTTCAAACGAACGATTGAGCAGCCAATTGAGTTGAAGCAGTTGGTTTCACAAAATTCCAAAGTGTGAAACATTCGAATTTGCTAACAAATCAGGCAATCAGTGCTTTTCAAACGAACGATTGAGCAGTCAATTGAGTTGAAGCAGCTGGTTTCACGAAATTCCAAAGTGTGAAACATTCGAATTTGCTAACAAATCAGGCAATCAGTGCTTTTCAAACGAACGATTGAGCAGTCAATTGAGTTGAAGCAGTTGGTTTCACAAAATTCCAAAGTGTGAAACATTCGAATTTGCTAACAAATCAGGCAATCAGTGCTTTTCAAACGAACGATTGAGCAGTCAATTGAGTTGAAGCAGTTGGTTTCACAAAATTCCAAAGTGTGAAACATTCGAATTTGCTAACAAATCAGGCAATCAGTGCTTTTCAAACGAACGATTGAGCAGTCAATTGAGTTGAAGCAGTTGGTTTCACAAAATTCCAAAGTGTGAAACATTCGAATTTGCTAACAAAACAGGCAATCAGTGCTTTTCAAACGAACGATTGAGCAGTCAATTGAGTTGAAGCAGTTGGTTTCACAAAATTCCAAAGTGTGAAACATTCGAATTTGCTAACAAATCAGGCAATCAGTGCTTTTCAAACGAGCGATTGAGCAGTCAATTGAGTTGAAGCAGCTGATTTCACGAAATTCCAAAGTGTGAAACATTCGAATTTGCTAACAAATCAGGCAATCAGTGCTTTTCAAACGAACGATTGAGCAGTCAATTGAGTTGAAGCAGTTGGTTTCACAAAATTCCAAAGTGTGAAACATTCGAATTTGCTAACAAATCAGGCAATCAGTGTTTTTCAAACGAACCGATTTGCCGCCTATTTGGCAAACGAACGTTTAGTGATGTAATTTCACCCGCTTAAAACAAAAGCCTTAAATTTAAATAAAAACAGATACATACATTGTATGTTAGAGAGAAAGAGATCGAGAATAAATGGATATAGAACAATCTAATTTTTATGCATAGTAACATATTTTTTGATCTGATATTTTCGTTCCATATCCACTTCTTAGGATAAAGAACACAATAATTCTATTTTTTCTATGACAAACTGTGGGATGTAGCCTTAAATAGTGATTTTTGGATGTAGGCCATTATATGGTTTCGCGACTTTCAAAAATTAATATGGATATAGTAGAAAATATTGTTTTTTTTCTTTTTTATTTGTGAATTTGGCTATATTGTTTTTGTGGATACAGAACAAGCTAATTCTGCATAAAAATGGTGTATGTAACTCATTTTACCCCAAAAGTGGATATAGAACAACCTAGTTCTAGAGTGACAATAGAATTCGTTAAACCTCAAATGTTATACCCACAACAAAAGTAATAACATGTCAATTCTAATTTGAATATAGTCAATAATTCGCAACATTCTTGTAAATTATTGACATAACATTGTTGTAATAATTAACTTCTAGCGCTCGTCAAGACTTTAAAAATCAAGAAACCCAATCGTCCACCAGCTCAACATTCTCGGAATCGAGTACATCATTAAGTACGTCAACAGATTATGACACAACAGATAATGGGCCTAAGCCCAATTCCAAAAACGAAGCACTAAAAGAAGAACCTAGTCCCCATAGCACTTGCAAATGTAAAGAGGAATTGGAGCATTTTATGAAATCGAAATGTCCATGCGAAGAATGCAATAGGAAAATTAGGCAGGCCAATGCAACATACGTAGTAGGTTCTACGAGAACAACGCCGAGTGGTCATCAGGTATCCAAAGTTAATACAAACTATAGGTTCTTATAGGATATACAGGGCGAGTCTTAAATAAGTGCAAATATTTTTAGGGGTAGTATATTATTTCGACCCCAGAAACACGATTACGAGGTTTTTCGCAAAAGAAAATTTTCTTTTTAGTTTTTAGAAAAAAACATCACTTCTTGACAGGGTTGGAAAAAATCATGATTTTTTTTATTTATGTCAGATTTTTTTGATTTTAATTCAGAACATTTACTTACTCCTACCTCCTACAACAGTTAAAGGAATTATTAATTTAGAAAGTTTAAACTTTGTGCAATTTTTAATAAATTTATTCTAAAATGGACATATTTCAAGAATAGGAATTTTATAGCCACTGAAAACCAAACCAAATGTATTAACGGGATTAACCATTTTAGAGCAAGCAAAATGTTTTATTAAGAATGCATTTTTCTCAAAATGTCAATAATAAAAAAGTGTTTCCTCTTGTAAAGACAATCCCGGGACATACTGTACAGGGTGGCTCCTCCCATACGCCGCGGAAGCTCCGATGCTCTTTTTTTATGGGGATATATTAAAGACAGCGTTTACAAAACTCGACCAACTATTGTCGACAACATGAGAGAAATTATTGTAGCTGCTTTTCGAGGTAGTACTCCACATATGCTTTCTAAAATGAAAATATCCTTTGAAAAAACAATCATTTTATGCAGTTAACAGGAGAGGAGGCATTTTGAGCATTAGATTTCATCTAGCTAATTTTTGTCACATAATTATAGGTTTATATCTAGTTTTAATTCTGTAATCAATAAAATATGTTTTAAACGTGTATTTTTATTACCGTTGAGTATTTTACTCTACAATCTTTAATTTTTATTAAATTAACAAAAGGTGCATCACAGCCATCCCCTACATGTTTTTCAAATAATAAAGATCTACTGACGCAAAATCATAAAAATTAAAATATCTCGAAAAATCTTTGTCTGAGGGGTAGTTAACTTTAATATTATTTTGAAGATATGTAAATTCCCTTTGGACACCGAAATAATATACTGTGTGTTCCATTTATAATAAAGGAGTAACTTGCTTTTAAAAGTGACTAATGTTCCATATTAACTTTGTCTCACCCTGTATAAATTTTCGGGTCAAATTTCAATTTAGTTTAACATACAATGGTTACTGTAATTAAATATCAGGCTATACAAGGTCAACTAAAATTTAGTAGCTGTTATCGAAATTTAAAAGTTACTCTTCATTTTCACAAAATGTGAAATATGTCAAAATCCTTAGATTTCAGGTATATGCTTCTTTAATTACCTTACCTTTATTTTTTTTTCTAGAATCCGAAAATCAATTAATATATATGGTGTTCCATTAGAAAAAATACAACTTTGATGTGTAACACTTTTTTGGGGACACCCTGTATAATTCTATATATTTTTATAAAATGCTTTCAGTTAACCTACATACGCTGTCAAAATGTCATTTCGATATAAACTACAGTTCTCCTTGGAGCTTCCGCGGCGTATGAGAGGGGACACCTTGTATAGTGTGAAAATTAACTTGATTCGCGGATCATCATTTAATAAATGCAGTAACAAGAATTTTTTTAAAATTACGCGACTATGAAAATACTCAGTCAAAACTTTAAACCTGGTAGACCTAATATGAAGCTTTTGCAGAACAGTGGAGGCGACCATATTCAGAATATTTTCGATTCTTTAGGTAAATGTAGTTCAGGGAATTCACCAGCCAGAATGTGCGTGTTTGCATGACCACATTGAAAATATTCGACGAGTTGATGAATATAAAAGTCGAATTAAAGTTCGACATGATTTAAAGAAACAACCACATAAGTATTGCGTGAGCGGTGTCACAAATACACGTGAAGGTACGGTTAACACTGAAATATTATATCACTAAAAACGGTCATAATACATTAAGAATCAATATTTGCTGTCAACAGTGGATTAAACTTAGCTTATAGATCATTGTTAGATTCACGATTTTACTTAATATCAGCGCAGCAGTTCATTAAAACTTTAATGAGTTTAAACACTACCTTTAATAATTATAATCTACTGATGCGATGCTTGCTAATATTTTTTTCACTCTCCTTTAAATAAATAGTATTTTTAGTAATTTAATGCAAATTTTTAGTAGTTTAATGTAAATTATTAGAATATTTTCCTGACAAAAAGTTTTATTTCTCTATACCAGGTGCGTTTCAAAAGTGGCTCACCTCCTATAAATTTTTTATTTTTTCAGATAAAAAAACGAGATTTGGTGTGTTAGTATATGACATAAATTTTTGGTCGCTTCCTGTTTCACCGAAAATGAACTACAACTTTTGATTCTTAAATCACACTCTTGGTATTTTTCTACTCGATAAAAATAATACTCTAAATTCAGTGGCGCATCCAGAGATTGAGTCTGGGAGGAGTAGTGGCAATATTTAAATAAAGTAGGTAATATATTTAAATTAAATTTTCGATCAAAGGTTGCGACTATGGAACAAAATAAACTTATATTGTTCTGGGTTTCTATTTTGATTGATATTATTAATTTATTTTGTGACAATTTTATTTTATAACAGGTTTTCTTAGTTATAAATTTCACCCTGGGAGGGGTAAGTACCCCCATTTCCCCTCCCGTATATGCGCTTCTACTCTGAATAGTGTGACATATCATATGTCACCATTTGACATTTGCGCTTAAAAAATCTTATTTTAATTTTTAATCTAGAGTGCGTTAAAAACACTAACTTTTAACTCTTTGGTTAAAAGTTGGAAAAATAGATTTTATCGTCTAGTGTTTTTCGTATCTTGTCCTGGCCGCCCAAGCAGCATTTGGACGTTGCGGTCGGGACAACGTTGTGTCACGCGACCAAACGTCGGGGCGCAACGTCGGCACAACCTCGTGCCAACCCTAGTCTGCACTAGTCTGGAGAATAATTTTTGGGTCGAAACGACGTTGGATACCGACGTTGGCTAGAAGCCTAATTTAGTACAAACTGCAACGTTTTTTAAAATCCTAATTCACAGAAATACAAAACTAATACGGCGTCTAAGTCGCGTTTTATCCTAAATTGGGATAATTATAGTAAAAATATTATTTTTATGATTTAGTTAGAGACATATGTCAGATGGCAGTGAAGGAAAACAAAACAAAAGTATTTAAGTGTGGAGGATGTTTGAAGATCATAATTATTGAAACACTTTAACCGACTCTGTAACTCGTTACCCAAGGCAAAAAAGTTAAACGCAAACAACTTTATTGATAAATGTATTGTTTCTGCTTTGAAAAATACTAATGGGCCTTAAAATTAAAGAAGTTTTATAAATTTCCTTGAATTTTTTTTTTATTAAAATGAGAATAATTTATTCGCAGTCGAAAAAATTGTTTCCGCGTGTTTTTTAGGGTCAAATATTTCAAGTTAATGTATTCAAAAAGCAGGAATTGCTACTTTAGGAACGAAACATTTTCTTATTTAACAACATGGCGGCTTTCACTTTGTTGTTTTAGAGATTAAGATGGAGTAGTTCGAGTGGTCGCATACTGGACTAATAAAGTCGCAGTTCGGCCTTAACAGGTAGTATACTAGTCGCAAGATTGCCTAATTTAGTCATCCTAGAGTCTAGCTTGTGCCGCCCTCTATAATCTAAATAAACGAGGGAGCGGATAAACTATCGGTAATATATGTCGATGTATATTTAAATTTAGTTTTATATGTACCTTTCTTATGTCCCATTTTAATTAAGTTTTTTTTTATAAAAACAAAAACAGCACTGAACTGTCTGACTGAACAGAACAATGAAGTGAAAATTTAAGATTTAAGGTTATGGTTCAATACAGTTGCAAAAAGGTAGTGACTCGACGTCCTACCAACGTAAGTGTGCGAACACAGTGCAAGCAGGTTTGCCGCTTACTGGTAGTCAGCGCCAATCTGGGCACCTATTCTTGACATTGTTCGCAACTTTGCGTATACGCATCACGTGTATTGTTATAAACAGGGTATCCCAGATATAAGTGCAAGTATTTTAAAGGGTGGTAGATCTCGATAAAAGAAACATATTTTCTCTTTATCGTTATTCAATTAAGTCCAAAATAATGGAGTTATTTTACTTTGAAAATTTCCACAAAAAAAAATTATTTTTTTGCTAAAATTTTGAGAACTTTCTTCTTCATGTGCCTTCTCCGCATCGGAGGTTGGCGACCATCAATTGGAATTCCTCCCTGTCTTGAGCCAAACGGATAATTGCACTGGCCTCTCCTATATTAAACCACTGGCGCAAATTCCGCAACCAGGAAAACCGTTTACGCCCGATGCCTCGTCGTCCTTCAATCTTTCCCTCAACGATCAGCTGTAGGAAACTATATTTGTTATTTCGAAAAATATGACCAAAATATGCTGCTTTCCGTCGTTTTATTGTAGTCATTAGTTCTTGGTCCTTACACATTCTTTCCAATACTTCGAGATTTGTTTGATTCTTTTCAAACCACTGGATCTTTTCTGGATTTTCTTTCTTGTAAATTTAATCTACTACCTATGTTGCCATATTATCAAGAAATTATTTTTTTTAAATAAAAACTAAAAAAAATTGCAAAAAAATTTCAAAAATATTTTCAAAAAATTCCGAATTTTCAAAAAAAAAATATTTAGAAAAAAACCTCATAGGCGTGTTTCTGAGGTTGAACTATACTACCAGTTAAGTTAAAATACTTGCACTTATTTCTGGGACACCCTGTATATGGTTACATAGTAGCGCCGCGCCGCGCCGCCTCGCGCTTATAACCTTGAAAAATTAAAGCGTGTTATCAAATCGGCTAGTTCACAGTGAAAGCAGGCAGGCACCGTCAACCAGCGTTCATCGGCGTTCTCGCTTTTACCGGAACGAAAATTTATTTATTTCTGCTTTTGCACGCGCCGACGGCACACAGGGGTATTAAGAATTAAAAGTTGGACAAAATTATGTTTTATGAATTTTTTGCTTTTTTGCTAGAAGGAAACGTTTCAAAATAAAAATATGGCATAAAACAGAACAAAGCAAACAAACAAAGCTGGCTCTGTATCCATCATGACAGTTATTATGAACAATTTGCAAAAAAAGCACTACAAACAATTCCACTATTTTTATAATCTTAGAAATATTCAGAATACACTTACTTTTATGGGTTATCAGATAATTCATACTTTTAACTGAAATATATTATTTATTTGATAGTCAATTTACGACTTAAAAAAGCTAATAACTAATAAACGTGCTTACATTTAGTATTTATAGATTTGTATTCAGTTAAGATAAAAAATGAAAATAAAAAAATATCACTTTTGGCCAGGTTTATAGACCAAATACACCTATGTGCGGCCCCGGCGAGGCGGGCGCGGCGTTTGAATATGGTTTGGTTAGGTTAGGTTAGTTAATCAGGTAAATTTCCTCTTAATTATCTACTTCCGAATCCTTCTCGCATCTCCGAAATAGCCATATACAATACACGTGATGCATATACGCAAAGTTACGCATCTGTGTATTGTTATATGGCTTTTTAGGAGATGCGAGATGCGAGCGATATTTGAAGATGCGAGTGGTCAAGAATAGGTCCCCAGAGACGGCGCTGGTTGCCGGAAAGCAGAAACCTGCCTCCACTATGTTCGTACCCTAAGAATAAGGAAATCTAAACAACGTTGGAATTAGTAAAACAGACGACGTTTGCATAACGTTGGAATAGGTCCTGAAACTGACGTCGGAAATCTATATTGTCCAACGTTGTAACTACGTTGTCCGAATCACCTAAAGATCACTTAAGCAAAAAAGGTTACAAGACAACGTTTATTCGACGTCGCAGAAGCTTCTACTTTGCTGTAGTACTAGTCCAACGTCGGCACAACGTTATAAAAACGTTTAAATTTATTTTAATACCCAAGGTAGGGAGCTAACTATTTTTTGTAACTAATCCAACGTTGTGTTTCGTAAACATGTGGTCGCAAGTCGTGAAAATGCTACTTGGGCCTTTACAGGATGTTCAAATCGTATTTTTAATTACTACTCAATTTTTTCAAATTGAACAAGGGTGGCTCATTAGCATGTTTGGAAAAAGCATTTTTTCCGAATAATTTGGTACCACCATAGACTTAGAATAAAATTATTATATTTTATTCTAAGTCTATGGGTACCACACACTTGGTATTTCACGTCAAATTGTCGTTAAGAACGCATGTTACAATTTCAAATAAACCCCTATGCGAAAATATCAAAAGTTGACATATCTGACATGTCATTCTATTCAAAGTATCATTTTCTATCGAATAAAGTATAAAAATACTGAGGGTGTCATTTAAGAATCAAAAGTTGTAGTAATTTCCGGTGAAAGAGAAAGTGACCAAAAACAACTGAATGCGTCAATCAATCCTAATAATTTATGATATATACTAATATACCAAATCTTGTTTTTTTATCTGTAAAAATAAAAAGTTATAGGGGTGAGCCACTTTTGAGACGCACCTGGTATATTACATTGAATTACCATTTCTTCCTTTAAAATGTTATGCAACAGTCTGCCTTGGTCTTGATTTTGCACAAAAAACAAGATCAAGATCAAGACCGCTCAACCAAGATTAGTCTCGCTCTTCAGTAATTTTAATACCATATTCTTGACAGTGTGCTAGTTGTATTACAATCTTTCCTTCCAAAATAAGTAGATTCAATTTTTTTAGGTCCCGTCTATATTATTTCGGGTCTAAGACCACCTGTAGACTGCGAATGTGCCCGAGCACTTCGCGAGAAAGAAGAACAAGAGATGTATGAAAAACAACGGGCAAAAATGCCAAATACTGGTAGGATAAAGTATGCGATACAAGGTATTTTATCTATATATAATTAAAACTAAACTATTTACTATGATAATTTTACAGGTGTTAGAGCAACATCCAAAGAAAACGTCTATATCATGTCGGGCGCAGTAAAACCTACAAAATGTGAATGCGAAAATCTTCTAAGCCTTTTTGAAGACGCCCACAAAAGTTGCATGGAAGAATACGAGCAGTTTTTAAAACAAAAAGAGCAAGCAATTCAAGCTGTTGATAATGATGATCTAGTTCCAGGTGAGTCAGGCGAAGATGAGCTGCCAAATGAACCATCCAACGAAGGCGAAGAGGCCAGTGAAGGCGAACAGGCCAGTGAAGAAAAACAGGAAGAAACGAAAGAACCTGAAGAACATATGCTGATGAATAAAGAAACGGAAGAACCTGAAGAACATGTGCCGATGAATACACATCAAGAGCAAGTCCAACAAAATGTTGTCGGTGAGAATACCAATTGTGAATCCTGTTCGTCGTCCAGTTTAGAATCTAGCACGGAAGAAACTGAATCTTCAGAAAATGAATCATCAAAAAGTGAATCGTCAGAAATAGATTCGTCTGAATGTGGCAGCTGTCACGTTGAGAATCCACCTGATGTGAAACCTATACAACTGCGCCATGGCGAGGAAAATCGGGAATTTTTCCTGTCCAAACGATTCGCGATTTTTAGGAAATTTCCCCGAAATTACAAAAGACAAATGGAAATTCTAACCCATATATTAAACGGTACGAAAATCAAATAATTCCAAATGAACAAAGTAGAGATAGGTAGATCCGATATTTTAAAAGAGTCGGGTCGGGAGTTATATCAAGCTTCATGGGCCTACATCCGGGTTCAAGTTCTGCTGAATCTATATCATTCCAACCTTAAATTTTAATTTAACTAATTTTTTTTGCTTTTGCATGAAGCAATCCGCGTTCAAAAGTTTTGTAGTAGGAAATCTGACGTTTGCATCTTAGGTCCATATCATCTTACCTGTCCTGTTTATTGGGCAGAGGTACCTTAAGGTTCAAATTTATGACTATGAGACAAAGTATTACTAATTTTATATACTAATAATACTAATAAATGATATTCAAGATAAAATTACAGCCTTCCATCAAAGCTGCCGCATATACAGGGTCCGGCAATAGTGCGTGGGGCATCTGTAGCTGCTAGAATAAAAAAACTTGAGAATTTTGTTTAAGTGCAAACCTAAAGTATGTACCAGGATGTATTTCAGGAAAATATTTTAACTTCTATAGGGTGGCTCAAAAAAGTGTGAGTGGACCTGGATGATTTTTTTTAAATTGAACACCCTGTATATTATTGCATTTTTGGCTTTCTTTCAGATCACTTTACATAACCCTAAGATATGAATGAATAAATTTCGATAGTTTCAGAGATATTAAAAAATAAATCAAAAATATATAATTTTCAGCCCTTCTAAAAAAAAATTATTAAAAATACAAGAACTGTTCTGAAATCAAAACTATTTTAGGTATTCACTTGAGATGGTCTGTACTGCTATAAATATGAAAATGGTAAATCGTACAAGATGTTCAAAATTCTACTCCAAACTTTCTAAAATATAAAATAATTTTTCTTCGTTTTTTTAAATGGAACACCCTGTATATTATTTTTTCAATAGACGGAGAATTAAAAAATGATCATTTTTTGTATTTAGAGTATTTCAAAAATTTTAACGGTTTCGCAGATATTTGCGGTTTTATATTTCATATGGCATTTTCCACAGTAAATTTTTATCAAAGCCACCCAATGATTTGTCTCTCGTATTTTACCATTGAAAGCGCCATATGAAATAATACTGCGTGTATCTGCGAAACCGTTAAAAATTTTGAAATACTCTAAATACAAAATATGTTCATTATTTAACTCTCGATCTAATAAAAAAATAATATACAGGGTGTTTCAATTAAAAAAACAAAGGAAAAATATTTTATATTTTAGAAAGTTTGGCGTAGAATATTGAACATCCTGTATGATTTACGATTACCATGTTTATTGCAAAGTAGGAACAGACCATCTAAAGTAAATACCTAATATACTTTTGATTTCAGAAAAGTTCCTGTATTTTTAATCATTTTTTTAAGAAGGGCTGAAAAATATATATTTTTGATTTATTTTTTAATATTTCTGAAACTATCAAAATATATTTATTCACGTCTTAGGGTTATGTAAAGTGATCTGAAAGGAAGCCAAAAATGCAATAATATACAGGGTGTTCCATTTAAAAAAAATCATCCAGGTCCACTCACATTTTTTTGAGCCATCCTATAGAAGTTTACATATTTTCCTGAAATACATCCTGGTGCATACTTTAGGTTTGCACTTAAACAAAATTCTCAAGTTTTTTATTCTAGGAGCTACAGATGCCCGACGCACTATTGCCGGACCCTGTATAGAGATCGTTTCATACTAAAAACAAAATGATCGGCATTTAACAGATAATATTTTTAAGAAATAAAATGGCAATTTTTAAAAAAAAATATATAAAACTAAATTTGAACGTAGTTCTCGTCTACTGATTTTTTTTACGAACCCTGTACAATCATAACATATTCTATAATTTCTTGAATTTCCCAATAAAGTAACAACACTAGACACAAATTTCAAATCGTACCAAATAATTTCGAATACGGTTACGGTTCCGCGAAAGTAAACTTAAAAAACAGTAAATAAATACAACTTAGCAGCAGTTACAATTTTCCAGTTTATTCTAGTATTTTCCAATACTGTTTTATTTTGCTGCATCCGTTATGTTTTCTTTATCTGCCAACGACGTGGCCGGTTGGTTGTCAGTGTCAGTAATGCATTTCTACGGATAGTGATCGATATTCAGTAAATGCAGTAGGATCTACAATCTACATCCACTAGATCCGTGGATTCCTATTCATCCGGACCTATAGTACCCAACTCTAGAACAAAGATTGATCTAGAAATTGATTGATGCCATTTTCTTCTAGAATATTGTTAAAAATTGATTTCAAATTAACAAAAATCTCTTTGAGGAAGTAACTTATACCGAGTGCATCTCAAATGTGGCTCGCGCCTAAAACTTTTTTATTTTTTCAGTTAATAAAACGAGAAAAAAAAACATTAATTAGGATTTAATTTTTAAATGGCACCCTCGATATTTTGTTACTTTATTCGATAGAAAATGACACTCTGAATAGAATGACATCATATGTCAACTTTTTACCTTTTTGCTTAAAACAAAATTGAATTTTAAATTTCAATCTAGAGTGTCATGGCTGTGTTAATATGGTTTATTTGAAATTGCAACATGCGGTTCATAACGAAAATTTGACTCAAAATACCAAGTGTGTGGTATCAAATTATTCTATTATTCATAAAAAAATGCTTTTTCCAAATATGCTAATAAGCACCCTCGTTCCATTTGAAAAACTTGAGATATGATTAAAAATGCGATTTGGGCATCTTTAACTATCAATTATTATTAAAGCATTAAATCAACAAACCTATATTTCCAAGGCTCCTTGATTAAAAATTATTGTTTTTAACACAGCCATCGCACTCTAGATTGACATTTAAAATACAATTTTGTTTTAAGCGAAAATGTCAAAAGTTGACATATGATATATCATTCTATTCAGAGTGTTGAATAAAGTAAAAAAATACCGAGGGTGCTATTTAAAAATCAAAAGTTGTAGTAATTTCCGGTGAAACAGGAAGTGACCGAAAACAATTAAATACCTCAATCAATCCTAATTTATGTAATATACTACAATATAACTTGCCAAATCTCATTTTTTATCTGAAAAAATAAAAAACTTATAGAGGTGAGCCACTTTGGAGACGACACTCGGTATACCTACGAAATATTAAAGATATATAGCTTTGTTTGTTTATTTATCATAAAAATATCACTAATTAACATTAAACCATATCTTAAGGGATGGCTGAAGACGGATTTCCCCTGGCAAAGCTACCTCACGTCCACAAGTTACCAATCTTCAAACTTTGGATGCAAATGCGAGCCGGAATATCTTGGACGTACGATGACAGAATAAAATACATCTTGAAGAGCAGAACACTGTGGAAGCACACCTTCACATGCTACCGACCTCCAAATTCCGTATCGATGCCATTCACAAAGGCCCAAGCTAGAAAAATTACTTGGAGACATGCCGAATTTGTTCGGCTTACTGCGGCAAAGAAAATGGAAGAATTTTACAGGTTAGTACTGAACGATTTAGAAATAAATATAAAAAAGTAAAACAATAAACATGTAGAATACAATGCAAAATAAAACACTAGTTCACTACAATACCTACACAAAAAGTCGTTGTTTCCTAGTTGAAGTGAAACTTCTTTACGCGCGATGGGAGTAAAAATTCAAAGCCGTGATAAACCACGGCCTTGACACGTCATGACCACAAAACACATACACAAGGAACAAGGAGAAGTGCGAGCGCCTTGCTAAATATTGGAAAGTGAAATTGACGTTTAAATTTGACACTGTTGACAAGTCTGCTGCTACTAGCGCCCCCAATATCGCTTGTAGGAACTACGGACTAGATTGTCACGCATGGCGGGAAGTTTAAAAAAATAAAAAATTTTAATTCTTCATTTATTTTTAATTATGACATAGATAAAAACACAAAAAATACACCATTTTTTAAAAATATGTTTAATATCAATATCAAATAAACAACAGAAATTAATTTCACCACAATAAATTAATAAAATTAACAAATAATGTTACAAGTAGATCAAGAGACAAAATTAATTATAACAAAACTGAAAAAAATGGCGTCATAGATGGCGAGAACATTCGAAAACCTTCTCTATGCACCTAACGATCTATGGACTATTCTAGTAAACTTTAACTGTAGGTATAAAAGCCGGCGGCTGTGGCCTAGAGAGGGCAGTTATAAATATACCTGTGCAGTTGACGCGCTAAAATTCAAAATAAATTCTTAGTTATAAATCGTTTGTAAATAGTTCTATAAGTCTTTTATCGTTATTGTTTTTGTTAATTAGTGTTAAATAAATAGTGTTTAAATAAATTGTGACTTTCTATCCACACGGAACCGACGAAAAACGTAACAATTGGTGTCAAGTGTGGCGTGTGTGATAGACTAGGAAAATAAAAAGACAGACAATGGCTCCGAAAAAATTGTTGAAAGACTTGAAAGTGTCGGAATTAAAATGCGTACTGGAGGAGAGGGAATGCGAAACAGATGGAAAGAAAAGCATTTTGCAAGCCAGACTGAGACACGTTTTGATTGAGGAAGGTGAGGATCCTGACACATTTTGCTTTGGTGACCTTGACTCGTCCTTACAAAACTTAAACGACAATTTGAATTGTTTAAATAATAAAATCAGTGAGAATTCCCAAAAATTAGAAGATAAAATCACAGAAAATTCCCAAAAATTAGAAGATATGATCAGAGAAAATTCTAAAGATATACAGGCCAGCTTTAATAATAAAATAATTAATTTAGAAGAAAGTTTAAACAATAAGATTATAGAGAATTCGACGGAACTACAAGACAAAATAACACAAATTGAGGACAATGTAAACAGAAAAATCGAAATTTTACGGGAAGAAATAATGAAGCCGAATTCACCAAAATGTCAAGAAACATCGGAGGGACCGAAACTAGTCGAAAATAGGTATACCTCAAAATCAGTTATGAAACCTCCACAGTTTGACGGAAAAACCGCTTGGGCCAATTATTTTTGCCAGTTTGAGGCCGCTGCGAGAGCGAACGGATGGACAATCGTTGAAAAGGCTACCGCTTTGACTGTCGCACTGCGAGGAGATGCGACTGATATCCTGCAGACACTGTCACCATCGGAACAGGGAGATTATCAGCAATTGGTACGACATTTAGAAATGAGGTACGGCCAAGCTCATTTGGAACATGTCTACCATTCCCAGCTCAAAAATCGTGTTCAGCAGAAATAGTCCGCCTTGCTCGCCTTGCGTACCCTGCTATGCCCGAAAATGTTATGGAGCGCTTAACAGTACAGGCTTTTATTGATGGTTTACGTGACAACGAGACAAGGCAAACACTTCTTTTAGCTCATCCAACGCATTTGGGAGATGCCCTAGCACGTGCCCTGGAATTTGAGGCCGCGAAAGAATGCTCCAGGTCTCTAGGATTTGTACGGGCTATTCAGGAGAGTTCCGACGATTCCAAAGTGGAAAGGATTGTGCGGAAAGTACTGGATCAGTATATGAGCAAGAAGGGGGGACCGATTCGCTGTTGGAATTGCGGACAGATGGGAAATCGTTGCAAAGAAGAGAAAGAAGTAAAAGTCTTAAGGACGACTGTGGTTGGTGATAGTTGGCAAACCGAAGATCTTGCAAATGACCAAATCAGTGATCCAGAGTTGGGCTTGGTGATTAACTGGAAAAACGCGGACCAGAGACCAACGTGGGAGGAAGTTTGCAGATATTCGCCGAACGTGAAGTCGTACTAGTCCCAGTGGAATTCATTGGTAATAGATAACGGATTACTTCGCCGTGTGATTGAGAGACCAGAGGGACAAGAAGAGAGAAGGCAGATCGTCATTCCAAAGAAGAGGGTCCCGGAAGTCTTGGCGGAAGTTCAATGGAACCAGCGGTGGACATCTTGGTGTTAGCAAAACCCTTGGCAAGCTGCGTGAACGGTTCTATTGGGTGAACTGGCACAGAAGACGTGCGGGCCTGGTGTAAGAAATGCGACGTTTGCGCTGCTATCAATGGACCACAAAAGCGTGGTAAAGTTCCAATGCGCCAGTACAATGTAGGCAGTCCTTTCGAACGAATAGCGATCGACGTGGCTGGTCCTTTCCCGGAGACGAACGATGGCAACAAATACATTGTGGTAGTAATGGATTACTTCAGCAAATGGGTCGAGGCCTACGCGTTGCCAAATCAAGAAGCGTCCACCATTGCTGATGCTCTTGTTAAGGAATGGATCTGCAGGTTTGGTGTTTCCATGGAGCTGCATTCAGATCAGGGAAGAAACTTTGAGTCCAATCTGTTCCAAGGCGTCTGTGAGGTCCTTAACATCCGCAAGACCAGGACGACTGCTCTGCATCCACAATCCGATGGGATGGTTGAACGCATGAACAGAACCATCAACCGTTATTTGGCCAAAGTAGTCTCTGACCACCAAAGAGACTGGGACAAATTTCTTCACCTGTTCCTGTTGGCCTATCGTTCATCCGTCCAAGAATCCACAGGGCAAACTCCAGCCAGCATCGTTATGGGACGGGAAGTGCGCCTACCTTGTGACCTGAAGTTTGGTTGCCGACCGGGAGAAGATGTCGCCGGAGAAGATTATGTCCATAGACTACGCCAAAGGATGGACGACATCCATCAGCGAGTCCGCCTAAATATTCAAAGCGCTAGTGACCGAATGAAGGAGCACTACGACATTCAAGCTGAGGGTACCAACCAGGGAATTTGGTGTGGCTGTACAACCCGCAGAGACGTCGTGGGTTATCTCCGAAGCTACAATCCTCGTGGGAAGGGCCATACGAAGTCATGGATAGGATTAATGACGTCGTATACCGTATCAGAAAATTGCCAAAAGGAAAACCGAGGATAGTCCATTTCAACCGTTTGAGCCCATACCAAGGCGAAATAGAAGAGCGTGCTGGGACCGTGAGAACCTGCAGCTTTGATTTCCCTGATTCGGAGATGTCCTTTGACGATTTCATGGCCCGATACAACAGCAGTGAGAAGGCTCGCTATGGTGTAACCAAAGAAGATCAACGAGACCTCTTTTCCGTGCCTCCTGATTATTCGCTCGCTCATTGTGTGGCCCGAGATTTGCGGATATCCAGAGGAATCGCTGCGACGTTCAATGAGAAGTTTGGGCGTGTCGGTGAACTACGTGCCGACAGGATCCAGAGGTTGGAAGCATCTTGAGGCTAACCGACAATGAACATTGTCAAGCAAGGCACATTTTCTACCTAGTCACCAAGGAATGGTCCCCAAGTAAGCCGACTTATCTCAATCTATGGAAGACCCTGATTGAACTGAGAGAAGCCCTGCTAAACAACAACAGTACACGATTAGCCATTCCGAAGCTGGTGTGTGGACTCGATGGTTTGAGTTGGCGTACAATCCGGAACATGATTGAAGTCTTGTTCAGATTTACGGGAATCGAGATCCTCGTTTGCTGCTACAACCCAAAGCTGAGATCGGGAGAGAAAACTGTAGACTGCTATTTCTACCAGACTTCTCAATGTACCAGGGGCCAGCTTTGCAAATACCTTCATTCACCGTGTACATCTCGGGACGAGCATGTACCTAGGAAGGGGGCAGTGTTGCGGACCCGTGTGGACTCGACCTAACCTAACTATATGTTCCGCCCTCAGATGACCTTAACATCGCCATTATTATATGACATTCGAACAATTTAATATTTGAAAAAGATAGCCACATGTTTCCTCTTTATGGCACAGTGTCTGCGGTAATCACTAAATTTGACGTTTAGGCTAGAGACATATTTTGTTTTTCAATCTCTCAATTCCATGACAGCTACGGCCGATATTATGACATTCAAACAATTTAATTTTTGAAATAGACAGCCACATGACTTCTCTTTCTGTCACAGTGGCTGTGGTAATCACTAAAAATTTGACGGTTAGGCTACACAAATTTTTTTGAGAGGCAGTTTTTTTCCTCCAAAAATTTTAAATATTTTTTTTCTCAAAAACGGTTAATGTTAGGTATAAAGTGTTTGATAACAAAATTCATAAAATTTTACAGAGAATTTAAGTATGTAATAAAAAATTTGGCTACCCATTTAAAATAAGAGAGTTGCTGTCAACTTCCTCTATTTCCGGAAGTGCTGCCATATTGAAAATATTTTTAATCGATAGATCTCGTTATGAAATTATGATGTGCAAAAAATCTCCGATCTAGATGTTGTAGCTCTCTAGAAACTTCTAATGCACTCTCAGCCTGGGACACCTTGTAGGTATACCAATAATTATTATAATATTGAATTTTAATTTTAGGAATTTGAAACAGTCCACAGTTGAAACTGGTAGAGAAATGTTTGCATCAACATTTTCTTACGAATTTCCTACAACGACATGGAGAGATTGCTTCTTCGCTTACACACCAAGTAAAGAAGAACATGTATTCCCTTATAAAATATATCAGCCGCACGATGTCAGATATATTCCTGAAAATAAAAAAATGCGATGCTATTGATATATTAGTACAGTTTATTAATTGTTTGTAAAGAAAGGAAACTAGATCTGTCACGTTTTCTCCTCTCAGGTGGTATCCAACTCCACTTCAGTTTTTTTGTCAATCGATTTTAGTCCTTGTTCTGAGATGCTCATATAGTATTTTTAATACCTATTTAGAGGTACCAGCCGTTTTGGTAACTTAACGTATGCGGCTTCTTGCACCATCTAAACCCGCATGAAAAAAATTAGGTTATGAAACTGTTTTCTTCCATCCCGTTTTTTGAAATGAAAACCCATTTTTTTAATTCCCAAATATAACGAACTTTTGGAAATCTTAGTTTCTGGAGACTCTTCGATAAATTGCCGGAAAATAGTTTCTACTGTCATTTTATCCTTTCGCGCATACATTTTGTAAATTACTTCCCTCAAACAATGTAGGGTATTCTTTGTAATTCTGATTTTGCTCCGGGAAACGCTTGCAGACATATTTCTTCTAAATTCGAAATCTGTAGCTCTGTTTGGTTTTTCAAGAATATATAATGTGCATTCTGGGACTTTTAGTGCTTCGGACGCTTTTTGAATTGCCTTCGAGATCCTAAATCGTTTTGAAAATAGTTTACTACATTAAGCATAAGTTTTTTGGATTCATCAGAATATCGCATTTTTATATCTTATTTTGCGTTATGACATTAACATGAAACGTAACTTCAAAAACGTGACATCTAACAAATTATTAGTAATCGACGTTCATTTTTGTTGGTAATTTTTTGTTTCAACTGATTTATTAATAATAAATAAGGATGGTGTTATTCTAAATGGGTATTAAAAATACTATACCACCATAAGTTCCCATAGTTTCGATAGTACCAACCTAATGTATGTACTAGGATGTATTTCAGGAAAATATTTTAACTTCTATAGAGTGGCTCAAAAAGGTGTGAGGATGGAAGTGATTTTTTTTTAATGGAACAACATGTAGGTATATTATTGCATTTTTGGCTTCCTTTCCGATCACCTTACATAATCCTAAGATATGAGTAAACGTATTTCGATAGCTTCAGAGATATTAATAAATAAATAAAAAATATATTTTTTTTCAGTCTTTCTTAAAAAACTATTAAAAATACAAGAACAGTCCTGAAATCAAAACTATATTAGATATTTACTTTTGATGGTATGTACTCACTTTACTATAAATATGGTAATCGTATATCATACAGGATGTTCAAAATTCTACGCCAAACTTTCTGAAATGTAAAATATTTTTTCTTTTTTTTGTAAACACCTTGTATTTTTTTATTAAATGAACAATTAAAAAATTAACATTTTTTTTAATTCTGAGAAACTCTTCTCTTTTTAAACAGAGTATTATTATTTCATATGGCTGCTTCAACGGTAAAATACGAGAGAAAAATCATTGGGCGGCTTTGATAAAAATTTTCCGACAATGCCATATGAAATATAAAACCGCAAATATCTGCGAAACCGTTAAAAAATTTGTTAAAAAGTCTGGCGTAGAATTTTGAACACCCTGTATGATATAAGATTACGATATTTAGAGCAAAGTAAGTACAAACCATTTAAAGTATATTTACTTTAACCTAAGATAGGTTTCATTTCAGGATTGTTCTTAGTTTTTAATATTTTTTTAAAGACTGATAAATATTTTATTTATTAATATCTCTGAAATTATAGAAACTTATTTAAGCTATGTTGACACGGGTTAGTGAAGCACGCTCGTGTTTCACACTTTCGTGAGCTACGAAAGTACCAAAAAGCCATTCGTGAAAAACGAAAATCGTCCAGCGATATTCAGCAAAAGTTCCTTTCGTGGAAGGTTGTAATGTGCCAAATATTACAACATTAAAAGACGAGTGAAAATAATTAATTGTGGCATTCATGTCAATATTTCTTCAAAGTTTTTGTTAATTATTATGATAAATTTGTGTACTCTATTATAATCGTTCAATGAACCAAAATACAATTTCCTAAATTATTCCGTTCTGTTTCAGCAATCGCAAATTTTTCCATTTAAGTTATCTAATGTTTTTGTACGTATACTAATTTAATTCTGAATATGTTTTGTAAAGACTTGTAGAGCTACGCATAAGTAGAGCTAATATAATTACACAGATTTTTTTTTCAGTAACTTTGATTTACTCGAAAAAGGCTTGTCGATTTTTAGAATTTTGACAGCAGCGCTCCGATCACAGTCCCGGTTACCGTTCATGTTGATCGCATTGATGTAATATTAAAATCGTTGCTTTGTGATATATTTAAGTATTTTAGTTTTTACTAGTGCAGTAGTTATTGAAATTACAAAATTCTGAGTAAAAATTGACGAAAAAATGTCAACACGAAAAGGATAGCATAATTACGTGGTTGTTGAGCTGGGTTTCTTCCTAACTTCCTAACTTTATCACACCGATATGATGAAAAATAAAAACAGATTGGGGCAGTCTGACGAACAACTGATGCACAACGCTCAATGGAACGAAATATCCTGGGAATAACCAAGCGAGATCGTAAAAGAATAGAGTGGATACGACAAAAAACCCAGGTAATACATGTCATTCACAATCAGTCAAATCCCTCAAATGGCAATGGTCAGGGCACCTGGCAAGAAGAACGGACGATGGACCACAAAAATTACAGCATGATACCCACGAGGAATCAAGAGACCTAGAGAAAGACCGAACCTGAGATGGGACTATGATATTAGGAAATTAGCAGGGATAACTTGGGCCCGCATAGCCAACAATAGACAAAAACGGGCTCAACTATAGAGTATGTGAGGGAGGCTACACCATGATCGGAAATGGTAGAATAAGATGAAAATGATGATGATATACTTACTTACATATTGCGTTACAAATCTTTAAAAGATTCACCTTTCCACAATTTCTGAATACGTTACTGGCAAAAGGTTCGACTTCTCATTAGTAAAATAATATTTTGTGATGTGGTGTTAAAAATAAACCTTTTTTCCACTTACAGAGTGTCCACAATAAAGTCCAAAGGGATTTTTTATTAGCAGAAACTCAGGAAATATTTCAACAGACGTCATGCAAAAAATGACACAACTGTTACTCTGAGGGATTGTCCCGTTGGACAGACTATAACTTGAATTGGCTAATTTTACGTCTCTCCAATAATTTGATGCTGACTTTTTGCGAACACACACTGTATTAAACATTTAACTTATTTTAGTACGGTGACAGCTAGTCTAATTGCAAATATTTCCATTACTGACACGGATCCAAACCGAAACTGTTCATTCTCACGCTCACCGTTTGCTGACGTCCAAAATTCTTATATTATTGATTATGTAAACAGCAACGAATTCCGTTGACTTTATTCCATCTTGGCAAGGTCAGGGCCGTTACTCCCATAAACCATGCTAAATATAGGTCCTCGTAAACGGTGCCCCTGTCCATGAGCCCGTCTCTATAATCACGTAACGCGTGAATGCATCGATTTCAGGAATATATTAACATCCTGTTTTTGTCAACAGAGCTTCACATTTTTAAACACAAGCTCGAAATAATAAAATGAAAAATATATAAATGAAATTTTACTTGTTTCCGATTTCGTAGATTTTTTGTAGATTAAGTACCAGACGGCTGGGAATGACAATTGGGATTTTTGGGAATAACAATTGGGATTTATTGAGAATAATGACACCCTGAATAGAATGACATATCATATGTCAATTTTTGACATTCGGACCATCGGATCTGGTAGGTATATTTGAAATTGTAACATGCGAAGAAGAAGAAGAACATGCGGTACATAACGACAACTTGACTCGAAATACCTAGTGTGTGGTATACAAAATTGGTACAAAATCTTCCCAAGGCTCGTTGATTAAAAATTAGTGTTAGTTAACACAGCCGTGACACTCTAGATTGAAATTTCAAATTCGATTTTTTTAAGCAAAAATGTCAAAAGTTGACATATGATGTCATTCTATTCAGAATGTCATTATCTATCGAATAAAGTAAAAAAATACCGAGGGTGCCATTTAAAAATTAAAAGTTGTAGTCATTTCAGGTGAAACAGGAAGTGACCGATAAAAATTGAATACGTCTAATTTATGTCATATAGATTCTAACAAATATCGCTTTTTATCTGAAAATATAAAAAAAATTATAAAGGTGAACCACTTTTGAAACGCACCCGGTATAGTTTAAAATTCCAGGAAAAAAATATTTTTGGCAAATAGATTTGTGTCTCTGGAAATGTCTCCTATCCTTTTTTAATCTTTCTACAATTAGTGTTAATTTTGAAGTTTTATGTCTTCCAAAAGTTTTACATCTTCCAAAATGCAAAACGCAGGGTATTTGACATATTGACACAAAATTATAACCTATGATTTGGGAAGACTTTGACAAGCCTCAAAAATCTAAAGGCGAGTTCATACGCATCGGCGTCCGTTTGTCGTTCATCGTTCCGTCAAACCAATAAAATTGAAATACGATCTCTCATTTTTTTAAATAAACCAATAAAACTGGTTAAAAACAACAAGAGACGACGCATGACGGGATTTATATTTAAACCCATCCATAGTTAACTTAAAAAATATTAGAAACTTTTTTTTTAGTAAAATAAATAGATTGGTATGGACGTCATCTTCTTTTCTTCTGTCATTGTCTGTCGAAATCTTACCTGAGAAAAAAAAACAGAGTATAAAAAAACGAGATTTAGTATGTTAGTATATGATATAAATTAGGATTGATTGACGTATTCAATTGTTGTTGGTCACTTCCTGTGTCACCGGAAATGACTACAACTTTTGATTTTAAATGACACCCTCGGTATTTTTTTAACTTCATTCGATAGAAAAAATGACACTCAGAATAGACTGACATATCATATCAATATTTTTTATATATAAGTGTCAACTTTTGACATTTTCGCATATGGTGTTTTTGAAACTGTAACTGCGGTTCATAACGACAATTTGGCTGGAAATACCAAGTGTGTGAAACGAAATTACTTCTAAAAAATATTTTTTCCAA